ATCAACATCTATCACACACATTATGCTCAAGCTTCCCTACAGCACCTACGGCCTGAAGCCAACGAGATGGAATTCAGTCCTGTTTCTCCCAGCCTGGCCCTCCAGGGCAGGGCTTTGGGGAGGGGAAACAACCCCAGAAGCCTCTGAAGCGAGGTGGTAGATGCAAGAACCCATTCGAGGTCATTACAGGCATCCCTCTGCTCTCAGACAACAGCCTGACCTTGCAATAGGTCTATATTTAAAATCCCTTCCCTTGGAGAAAAAGTTTATTACCCTCCCCCACTGCCTATTCTGAGGCTGTGTCCCACCGTCAGTCAGAAGGCTCCTAACTCGACCTGAAATCCTTTATTTGGAGACTCGGAGTACAGGTGTGCCAGTGACGTGTTTGGTGTGTGGTGCTGTGGGTGGGGCTGGTACACAAATAAAGTGGAGAAGGGGTCATTTATATGGGAGCCTATGACAGGCAGGGGATGAAGCAGGATGCAGGGAGCTCGGAGGAGAGGCTGGTACAATACTCTGGGGAGAGACGATGGGGTCCAGTGGCAGAGGGACTGAAGGAGAGCACAGGAGAAGCTGTGGATACAAGTGCTGACGAAGGGGACATAGAAGAAGGTGCTGAGTAATGTGAATGTTGGGGGTTTTCTGAAGAAGAATGGGGGCAGGTCTGGAGTAAGAGATTTTCAGACTGAAGAACATCAAGTGCTGTGGAGTTATGTGGAAAAGTGACAGGAACAAACGTTCATCTAACAGCTACCCTTAGGGTGGCCTACTTACCTTGCTTTGCTCAGGACTGTCCAGATTTTAGCACTGGAAGTCTCACATCCTGAGAAACTTCAGTCCCAGGTAAACCACGAAGGCTGGTCACCCTCCCTCCCACCTACCAGGAAGTGTGCACAGGATGACTCATGTCAACCTTACAACAACTCTGGGGTGTGGAGTGCATTAGCCCCATTTTACAGATGAGAAAATGGAAGCTGAAAAAATTGAAATAACTTGCTTTAACATCAAACAGTGAGTGTCAGCTTCGAAGCCAACATCTGTTGTTTCGCTACATTGAGTTGTTTTATCCTAGACTCAGAGACCCTTCAGGGACAAACGTGGAGGGTTATCTCCCACACACATTTCAACCTCAACAGAGATTGAAGTTTTGACACAATGCGTGTCATTTCCATTGGCCTGAGGCTGGGAGTGGGGGTGGCCGAGAGGAAAAGGGGCTTCCTCCCCTTCAGCCCAAGGTTGACCAGGGCTTTACCATGGACTGCCACCTGTTGATATTTTGGCTTCTCCCCCAGCTGGGGACAGGACCAGCTGCTGGGGGGTGGGGGCGGGAGGCGGAAGCTGGGGGAAGTGCTGAGGGGGGGTGTCTCCAGGGCCTTGCTGGGTTCCTGGGCTCCAGGTGGTGGGTCTGGGGAGGGTTGGCCCGACATCTGAGAGCAGGCTGGGGGCTGGGCCCCAAGTGTCCCTGCACTGCTGGTCAGCGCCTCCGGTGTGCTGGGGTGTGAGGAAGCGGCCACAGAGCAAACAAACAAAGCCTGTGAGGACAGGAAGCAATTACAGACCACCCGGCCTAGGCTTCTCAGAGTGGAGGGAGGGCAGGCAAGACAGGGATAGGCCAGCCCTAGGCGTGGCCTGAGGCAAGGGCAGGGAAGCAGGATTGAGAGGTTCTAGGCTGGCAGGATCCTGGGGAGGCCATAGCAGGTGTCCTTCCTCCTTTGAGTGACATCTTTCCTACTTAGAAATCACTTCAGAGAATGGGCTACCTAGTGGGCACAGGGTGCTGGCTTCCGGTCAAGAGGACTTGGTCCAGCTGTGCCATTTACGTGCTTTGTCTGGGGTGTGTCTCCTCCGCTCACTGATTCTCACTTTTCCCATCTGTATAGTGAGGTCGTGGTAATAAATGATCTTCGACGATGCCCTAAAATTTCTGAGACCAAGGATTTGTTAGCTAAAAGGATTTATTTAGTGCCAGCTGTATACAGACCCTGTGGCTAACTGATGGGTTTGGGGAAATAAATTTTGAAGTTTAAAACCTTGGTTCCGTCCTTGAGGAATGCTATTATCTTAAAAAAAATAATAATGTGTATTGAATGTTTACATGGGCTGGGAAGTGTGTTGAAATGATGTCATTTCATTTCCTCCCAAGTCCATGTTACAGATGAAGAAACCGAAAGTGAAGAAAGTTAAGTGACTCGCTTGCGACTGTGTCTAGGAAGACACTCTCCTCAAGCACTGCTACTGCAAAGCCTGTGCTCAGAACCTCAATTCTAAGATCCTTTCCTGTCGATGATAAACCGGGAAATGCCCTAAGTAACGTGCTCTGCTATTAGCTCATTTCAGCTGCACAGCAGCTCTGTGAGTCCGGTGAGATGATGCGCACCTTACAGACGAGGGGACTGAGGCTCGGATGGGAAAAGCCCACTGTCTTTCTGATGCCTGATGTGTACTGGGGTGCAGCCCAAGTCCTCTACCCCTCTCCCCCTGGCTCCAACGGAAAGCCGGCAACACTCCTCTATTACCCAGGAAGTGTCCCGTCTTGTCACCGCGTACGAGGCTTGTGGATTGGCAGGTAGGCTCTGGCCCTTCACTTCTGCTTGGGTATCTGCAGCCTCCCTATTCTTCCTCCATAAGGGTTTCTTCAGCAGCTCTGATATTCTAGGTGTTGTTCTTGGGATTCTGTACATTATCCTGTTAATCTCACAGCTACTGCATGAGGTAATTTGAACCCTCATTTTGCAAATGAGAAAACTGGGGCTCAGGAGCTCCTAGGGAATCCCTGGGCATTCCAACCTCCTTCCCCCCTCAGGATCCAGTGAGGGCTGCAGAGCCTTGGCTACCTGTGCTGACGATTCTGTCCCCTTCCTAAGGGACTTCAGTGGACTTCCTAGCCCGGCCAGATCTTCCTCTCGGCTCCTGGAAATGAAGCCACCATCAGCCCCTCTCCCAGCACTTTTCTTCCCTCCCTCCATGTCCAGCCTCGTTTTCTGACTTTCATGGAGCCACAAGGCTGAGGTCATTTTGGGGCCTGGGCCCACGTGCTCTTGTGCTGCTGGAGCCTTCAGCTTGCGGTACTGGCGGAAGCTGTATGACTTGAATGGCCTCATTTATTCCTCACTACAATCCAATGAGGTAGATCCTGGTATTATCATCATTAGCCCCACGTTTCAGATAAGGAATTGAGGCACAGGGAGGTAAATGGATTACCCGCAGTCATAAGCTGATAAGTGGCAGAGGCAGATTTCACACCCAAGCCAGCTGGTGCAGAGCCCTTGTGCCGAGCTGACCTGTGAAGGCCCTTAAGTGCCATCCTTAAGGATCATGGCCTTGATCCTGAGGCAAGAGGAAGCAATTGAAGTGCTTAGCCTACGAGGGACATAATCTGCTTTGCCTATAAGAATGGTCGGTCTGGTAGCAGTGAGGACGGGACTTGGAGGGGCCGACGAGAGGCAGGGACACAAGTGAGAAGGCTGGGGTGGCTGGAATCGCAGGGACAGATGAGGGTACCTTGACTTAAGGTAGTGGTGGTGGCTGTGCACAGAAAGGGGTAGAGATGGGGTTGTTTGACATGCGAAGGCAGAGCCACTGCCGAAGGACAAGCGGGACCTGGAGTGCTTCTGCTGCTTCTCCTGCCAAGCTGTGTGCCCTGGGGTGGAGCAGCATCTACCTTAAGGGTGCCTTTCTCTAAACAGCAGTGGATGCAATGCGTGGCGGGGAGGAGAGAAGGGGTAAGTCTAGATATAGACAACAAACTGCCAACAGTGGTTCTGCTGGGGAGAGAGACAAGAGATGAGAACTTAGCTTTTGCCATGTACACTTAAGGATTGCGTGAATTTTCTTACAATGAACTTGTTTAGTTTTAAAAAATACTAGAAGTATTTTTCGAAGGAATAAAACCTTAGTGCTCAGGGTTGGAGCGACTATCAAAGGAGGTAACGGATACTACTTGGCAAACTGAGGGGCTGGAGTAACTGACTAGTGATCTTCCCACCTCTCCTGTGAGAAAGGAGAAGGCGAAGTGTCCCAGGGAGGATCATTGCCAGGTGCAGAGCCCTAGCTGGGTGAACCCTGGGAAGTAGATGGTCAGATTCAGTTGTCCTGGGCTCCTCAGTGGTTGCCCTGATACCATCAGCCCCTGGGACCAGGCAGAGTTTACACCAAAGGCAATTTTACTTGTAGGCCTTTTCTAGAGCTCTAGAATCAGTGACAAATTGAATGGGATAATAAGTTAATTAAAGCGGTCTCATATGTGAGGCATCCCAGGGCACTGGAAAGAGGTTTGGCCAAGGAGTCACACAGAGCATCTGGACTCCTGAGCCACAGACTCCAAAAGGAACCAGTCACTCTACCTCTCTAGGTTTTAGTTTCCCCATCTATACAATCTGGAAACTGGCAGACCTAGTCTCTTAGGGCTGTGACAGCACTAACATTCCAGTAGTTTCTAATTAAAACTGTCCCCTGTGTATTAATCTTCTTGTCGAATTTTAATGAATGGCTGATGGAGCCAGAGCAGGCACCAGCTGCCACCCCTGTGCTGGGAGACAAGGGAAACCCACAGGATGTATGACCTGATAATCACTGCTAAGTGGCCTCCACCCCCATCTCCCTACCACAGGCTTCTTCTCATAGCTCAATGCTTTTTCCACTATACTGTACCACTTAGGGTGAGGGCTGGAGCGTGTGTGTGTGTGTGTGTGTGTGTGTGTGTGTGTGTGCGCGCGCGCGCATATGCATGCATGCATGCATGCATACAGCGAGACCTGCACCTTGATCTCTTCACTCCCTGTGCACCTCTTCTGTGTGTGTGTGTGTGTGTGTGTGTGTGTGTGTGTGTGTGTGTGTGTGTATGTATTTGATGGTGGTAAATGCTGTAATCTCCATCTCAGCTCTGCTACTAACTAGCTCTGTGATCTTCGTTTGTAATTTAACCTCTCTGATCTTATTTCCTTTTCCATTAAATGGAAATAGCATTTGGCTGCAAGTAACAGCAAAAAAAACCAAAAATAGAATCACTCAAACTGGCTTATACAATAAGCACATTTTTATCCCACCGAGAAACTCCTAAAGAAGAGGGCTTCAATGGCTGGTTTGTTCAGCATCAAGAACTCCAGTTCTTTCCATTGTCCTGCTCCACCATTCTCAGCCTTTGGCTTTTGTCCTTAGGCTGGCCCGTCACGGTGTTTGGGTGGCTGCGGCAGCTCCAAGTATCATATTCTAAGTCAACAAAATGCAAAGACTGGAAGAAGTAACAACTTTGCCTTATATCTCCTTTTAAACACAAGGCAGCCTTCCCCAGAATCCCCCAGCAGCCAGAATTGTGTCATCTGCCCGAGCTGGACCTAACTGCATGGCAAAGAGGTTGGAATTATAATGACTGGCTTAGATGATTACTCTCAACCCTGGGTATACATAAGAATTTCCTGGGGGCTTTAAAAAAATACCAGTGCCAAGACTGCACTCCCAGGTAAATTCAATTTGTACAGGTGGGGCCTGATTGCCAGATCTCTCCAAGTGTGTCAGATATGCTTAAACCCACCAATATTCAACCCCTGTAGCACAGCCTCCCATGTGCTGGGTCTGATAGAAAAGAGGAAGTGGTAGGATTGGCTGTTAGCTACCCAATATTCAGACACATCCTTTGTCTCATATTAGGTTAACACCAGGACAGGGGTCGAAACCCATGCAAATATGTGTCCTGCAGAAACTGCCTTCCAGAACCTGCCCCGCTTTTAAAATGTAGGGTTCCATTAAAGCAGGTACTTCCAAACCTGGCTATATGTCAGATTCTCCTGAGGTGCTGGTTATAAATAGGAACTCCTGGGTCTACCTAATGGCTATGGAATCAGAATCAGGTAAAGTAGAATCCAACAAATCAGATGCGTGCACACAAAAACATACCTTTGCTAATCCCTTGGTGACTCTTTGGCACTTATTCATAGAGTGGTGTTTTGGAAGGACCCCTCCACATGTCTCCCTCATGGGCCTCAAATGGTACCTGAAAATCCTCCATTAGGGTCACTTTCCTAAGTCATCATCCCGCCTCTACCAGCATGAACAGGTATTACATTATGGGTGGTTAAGGAAAGGTAGCTGGAAAGTCACTAAAAGTCTCTTCGCTTAAGTTTCAGTTTTCTTCTTTTTTTCAGTGTTCTTAAAATGAGGGAAATCGTGCTTGTCTCACTGTGATTACAAAGGACCCAGGAGACAGCAGAGTAGTGGGTCGAGCTGCACACACTGAGGGGATGGTGTGGAAATACCTGTGGGCTGGGAGACCGGAGGCCAGTATTCTATCCTGTCACTGGGTTGCTGTGGCCAAGCCTTTTTCTACTCTCCAACCCCTCAAACCTGTTTTATTATTTCTGAAATGCAGAGGGCTGCATACATGGATACGTTTTTTTGTTGCAACATTCTTAAAACAAGAAGACCCTCTTCTGCAGAAATAATGTAAGCTGAGCAAGTCTACTTGCTATGGCCCAGTGGGTAGGACAGAATTCCTCTGTGTTTGGCAGGATGAGGGCAGCAGAAAAGGGCTGGATTGAGGGGTTCTGTTCAGTGGGGAAAGGCCCGGGGAGGGGGCATCTAGGGAATTTGGGATTTCTACTGGGAATTGTGGGACCCTTAGTGTTGCTCATTGGCCTTTCCAATGCCCTTGCTCCTGGAGAGGCATGCTCAGCGACAGGCACTGAGGGGTTTGAGAAGTCCATAGGTCCCAGCCTGGCCCCCAGGCTCTGGACCCCTCCGGCCCTGGACCGCCTCTTTCCCCGCCTCACTTTGCTCCGCATCTGGCTCCAGGTCAAATGTGGATTTCCTTTCAGCCAGCACGCCTGAGAGTGTCCATCTGCGGAGCTGGAGCAAGAGCCAGAGGCCATCTAACACAAAGCCCATCCATCAGCTGAGCCCAGGCTAGGGCTGAGAAAGAAGACTGGGGTCAGGCCACCCAGGATGTGCAGTGGGAGGGGTGCTTCTGGATCCACCCAGGAGTTTTATTCTGACCAAGATGGTCTGAGGAGTGGGGGGATCAAAGATGAGGAGTGAAAAATTCTGGCTCTAGCCTTCTGAGTACCACTAACTCTTTGTGTGACCTCAACCATGACCCTGCCTCTCTAGGTCTCAATTTCCTTGTCTGTAGCACAAAGGGGTTAGATTAGAACCCCAGAACCATGGGCTCTCAAGGGCGGACGTACACTTAGCATCCATCTAGTCCCAGCCCCCACCCAGGGCTTGATTTCCCTCTGCAGCATCCTGCAAAGCGAGTGCCTAACCTCTGCTTGCATACCTCCAGTGATGGGAAGCTCACTTCCTCCAGTGGGATCTTGTTTCATCTCAGCATAGTTGTATGTTAAGCAGTCTCCCTTTGGCTTCCATCAGTGGGTCCTAGCTTTGTTTCCTGGGGCCACACAGCTCATGTTCCCTGTGATAGCCCCGCTAAGCTCTGAATTCCAAGTCGAAGTTTCTCTGAATCTATTCTCCAGACCCTTCAGCTCTCACTGTTCTCACATAGCCTGGTCTGTGACCCTTTAATGTGGGGGTCTCATAATTAGACACAGTCCCCGAGGCGGGCTCGGGGCAAGG